CCCCCCCCCCCCCGCCCCCCGGCCCCGCAAAGAACATGTTAATGTTACATGCGAAACCACGTGTGGTCAGAGAATGGGAGGCCCGCGAGAGCTTCGCGTCTCGACTCGGGGAGGTGCTCGGTCAGGCCGAACGGATTACCCTGAGACTTCTGCAATGATCTTTCAACTGTTGCAATGTCTGTCGTTGCTAGGAATTGTCACTCTGACTCTATGATGTGCAGCAGGCTCAGGACTTTACTGTTTTTGCCCAGTGTCGTTGCTGCTATTCGTCTGGCGGCTAGCTTAGCATAGAACAACATCCACGGAAACTGTTCTGAGGGCTTATGTTGGTTTACGGCGTCAACTGTCGAATCCAGATTTTTTGGCTTGATGTGCGTTGGGCCAGTCTAAGCCACTCAGGCCAATATTATCTGGGGCTGCTTGTCCTTTTCTGGGGCAAGGTACACCAGAGTTTTGCAAGGCTTGTTGGGCACGGCTGAGCGGTTCATTCCACCTTTCTCTTTTCACAATGGACAGGACTAGGACTCTGTTTGTGATTTCAAGCAATGACGTTCAGACACCGGTGTCGGTGCATTGAAACCGCCACAGCTTCAATGCAGTCTTGCCACGCTGGCCCTACACAAGTTTGAACTCGATCGCTCTAACCACTAACCTCTGTAAGACCACCCATGTATGGTGTAATGTATGTATGATACTAGATTATAACATGTTTGTTGTTACAGGGTTGTGTCTAGTGAAGCACCTTGCCCCAGATTTGATCAGCTCGCGGTGTTCCTTTGTTTGTCGAAGGCGCACCGAAGCTACACCCTCTACCTGCGGCTCGGTGATTGTGTCGATTATGTTGGTATAGATGTAAGTGTGGGTGTGTTCTTTCAGTGCGTTAGGTGTGCCTTACAAGGTTACTGTAGACCTCGGGTGATGGGTTTATTTTCGGCATGAAGCTATAGTCGAGGGTTTCTTCTTGAAGTTCCCACCTTACAGTCCTCATAGGGGCCGAACAAGTTGCAACAACAAGAGCTCTTACACTGCCAACAACAGTACAGTACTGTACCAGCACCAGTAATGCCGATGACGAGAGGGGAAACAAGAGCGTGTTAAAGCCCTTGCAAACGCGAGTTCCGCCCGCGCCCTCGCACAGGCTCATGTTCATGGCAGCGTTTACGGTCATGGGCTACATCAAGTCACCTGGCGATGGCTTCAAGTGCTTGCTCAATGGGAAGCCCGAACTGTTGCGAGCCCGATTCGATTACCCCAAGCAACTGGCAACTTTGCACAGGGGCTTGCTATGCATGTGATGGCATGGAGCAGTGGCGTGGCAATCTGCGATCTGCTAGCTTTGAGAGCCCTCGAGTGACAAGCGTGTGTGGCTGAAGGTTGTGGGACTATGGCACTGCATTGGATGAGCAGGTTCCGACTCCGTAGAAACAATGCATCGGATGCTTTGCCTCATGGGGCTCTGGTTCTACCTATGAAAGTCTAGCGCAGCTGAGAGCAAGTGGTCTTGGAATGGGGGGGGATCGACAAGGCAGGGTTTCTTACTATACAGTGAGGGATGTTACAGGGGTTACCATAATGGGTCTTACAAGGGTTCTGTGAATTCCTGCAGGGGCGGCAGCCAGTCTGCCTCGAGTTTTCTATCTTGGGCACGAAGATCAGTTGTTTTTTTTTCATCGCCAGGCCTTCGGGGCGTACCGACACTGCATTTCCAAGTCTTAAAACTCCCCCACCCTGCATGTTGCTGTGCATGGCAGCCCGCAGTAAACCGACTTTCAACGAGAGCGGGTGTTGGGCTAATTATCAGTTTAAGTTGTGGAGTTACATCCCGGAAACTTTTCTCCAGCACGATCATGCAGCCACAAGGAAGACAATGTCACGTGACCGACCCTTCTGTTAAAGGCACGGTCTGATTTTAGAACCACCTCCTGAACCCCCTATAGCTCAAAAGCCCGGACTTGCTGAGAGCCCAAACCACTGAAGCCGGAGGCGCCTTTGAGCTGGCAGTATGGCTGGCTGCAGCTTCTGGGGGGATTGGTCGGAGCCCCGAGATCAAGACATCAGGACTTTGGATAGCAGGAGCACCAGCAATGAGGCCGCAATTGTCTTTAATACTTTCGATACCTAGTCCCTGAGCTTGATATGTAAGGCTTAGCAAGATGAGGTGACACGGAAACATAAGGTGGGCTCTCATGCGGCTCGTTTGGGGCGCCTCATTTACCGATTCTACAACCCGAAACCCTTTTCCGGAAGTCTTGGGTTTTGTTTCTTGGGGCTCTACGTGAACTATGGACCGCTCACACTGCGACACTCGCCGAGGTAGAGCCATGCCAGATTCCTAAATCCAGGCTACAATGTTTCCATACAGACTGGATCAACTATTCCTTTGAACACGGCTGTTTTCTCGTTGTGGATTGCCGGAGATCTGAAGGCATCGCCCTGGCTGCAGGCAGGACTGGCCATTCGGACCTTTCCACCACTTCCCGTTCCTACTTATCACACCCAAGCAGCCTTTGTTCACTCTCCTCACCGATTGGAAATTGAAGCCCAACGATGGCGAACATGGCTTCCCAAGCCAGAAGCAGCGTCACATGAGCATGGAGCCGGGATTCTTGCGCCGAGCTCACACCGCCCGTTCACCGACTTCTTGATGCCCATCCCAGCAGGAGGGTTTGGGTCTGTTTAGGGTCCCGTATAATCCTGCAACTATACCACCTCAACATGCACTCAAACGGTCCCAAGCTCTAAACCGTAGCTCCCAAGTCGTGAAGCATGTGAAGCCATGTCGGCCTTGCGCGAGGGTGTGAGTCGAAACCCGACGTATTACCAGCGAGAGACCTCGCCTTGCGGGACCCAGTTGTGAGAGTTTGAAGCTCAACATTGCATATATAGAAAATCATCAGCCCCCGAAGGCGGCCCAAACCGGATTTACCTGTCAAGTCCTCGCAGACTTGAGGTGGGCTTGGTGAGTTTGTGGGCCAGCCGTCGGGCCATCCGCCACGAGTCGGTCTCCTGGCTTCTCTTCAAAACTCCCTAACACCTGGGCTTCGCGGCTCACGCAACCCCACTAATTGTGGCATAATCGAAATCGGTTTTTGTATTGGGACCTTCTTGTACTGGACCTTACCCCTTATAGTCACTATTCGTCGGTAGGGGGCCTGATCTAGGTCATACCCTGAACCCGAAGCCTAGTCGCAATCCTACTCCAAAAGCTGGACATGTCCTAAGAGGGAGTGGGCCTTCGACTCTTGAGTTCCCTATGGTGGCCCAGGGATGTTTTGAGCACCGCTTGAAGGTGGCTTAAGAGACCGCTCCGAACTCGATCTCTCTCCATCATCAAAAGCCAAGGCCATCGTTCGGACGGACATCGTTGCCGTGGCTTGGGTTAACGGTTGGACCGTTGCTGCGGCTTTGTTTTGCTCCTGTTCGATCGGCCCACTGGTTTGCAAACCTTTCAGTTGACAAACGGTAAACGAGTTTCAGGCTTCCCAGCGTTTGCATTTCCGCATTTCTCAGGCAAAGCCTGCTGCGGTGTCGCACCCGATAAGAGGGCAGAACTGCAGTAGCCGGTTGTGGCCTCTCATGTTCGAGAGTGGCCAACCATCACTGTTCCGAGGAGTCGCAGAAAGAGGAGCACACCTGCAATGACGCGGAACCTTGGGCCTCAATGCACTACATTACCGCGTAGCTAGAGACCCAGAAGGGCCATTTGTTGTGCGGTCACTCTGATATGTGAGCCGGCCTTTGTAGACGATGTCGGGTCTTGCTCCTCCAGTTTTGCCTTCTGACTGGTGCTTCCAACCTGTGTAGAGCTTCATCTGACTAGGCAGCGTTGCGAGAGCTGAAATCCTCGTTCCTCAGCCCGACAGCCCTGAAACGAGAACCCGACACTGTCAGCCCTTCAGATCCAAATTCATTCTGACATGACACGACTGGTTCCTTCATTGGAACTTTCAGAAGGCACCGACCCGAATTTCCTGGATCATAACAGCACTACAAGGTATTGTTAATTCCCACCAAAGTCAATAAAACCCTCCAGTTTTGGAAGCCTCCTCTACATCCCGAAGCCCTAAATCGTAAGCTCGAGTGTGTGAGTCGAAACCGTAAGCTTGGAGCTTCAGGAGCCATGCCTACCTTCCGCGATTGTCTGAGTCGAACCCATAAGCCCTTCAATGAGGACCGGGTCTCGGTGAAGAAGCTCCTCGCCTCAGCCCGGCTGCACGGCGGGCGAATTTGGTTTCAAGTTGATGCAAGCTGCTAGAACAAAGGGCTTATGGGCTATAGGGTTTGGGGTATATAGGACGTCGGGGGTTTAGAAGGGTTCTATCAGGGATCTCTAAGATGAAAGGGTCCTTAATAGGGGGCAGAAGAGTTCTATGACGTCTCTATACTATAGGGTTTGGGGGCTACTTCAGGCTTGAGTTCCGGGTCAAGAGCAGTTGGGGCTTGCCTTTTTGTTTCTGGTCGGCTGTATCTAACTTGGGTATATTTGCAGTGTGTTGCACGTGATTTGGTTGTGAGCTGCGGGCATTGGCTGTGATGGTGCTTGTCTGTTCAGCTTGTCAGGCTTTGGTCAACACTGTCAGTGGGGGGAGGCCTAAGTCCGATGCTGACAGCTGGTGCGTGAGATGTACTTTAAATATGTGAGACAAATTGGGGTTTGCTTCGTTGATCAATTGAAGATTTGGGAATGTTCTGGTGTATAGGATTAATGACTGATCCGCAAACCCCACCATGCCCCACCACCCACCACCACCACCACCACCACCACCACCACTCGATAAGACACATGTGAATAATGCTCCCAATATAATTACATCACCGAGACCCCAGAACAAGTGCGGCTCCATATACATGATATATAAAACGATTCAAGCTCCACGGCCGCCCGCACCGACCATAAGTAAACTCGACGGTGACGGCGCCCTGTGGTGCAGTATTTACGGCTTAGGGCCCCAACGTCGAAACCTCAAACCGCAACAAGCCCTTGCATGGCTCAGGCCATCGAAACCCCCGGTCAGATTCCTACAACTGAGTCCCAACCCTTTCCACCCCGAATCTTAAGCTACAAACCCTCAACATCTCTAAGCCGTGCCGTGCCTTGTCTGAGGTCGGGCTCGACTTCCACGGCTTTCCAGGTCGGCAACGTGTTCTATGAGGCGCCCTCGGCCCGGGAGATACTTTCTGAGGCTTCCATCTGTGTAGGAAAAACAATTGTCGGACCTGTCACTTCCAGCGTGTGCCGTGCCTGCCGAGCTTGCGTAGCTGCCAGCCACAACATCCACCCAAGGCACGTTAAGACCGAATACCGCAGTCACCAGTAGCCGAACAGGTCGTCAACCAATAACAGTAAACCGCAATGGCAGGAACGAAGTTCGACGTGCAAGCGTTGCTAATGCTGCTAAGTCCCTTTCGGTACTCATCTTAACTTGTAATCAGTATAGGAGCGCGACTTGTAACTCCCATGTCACATCAGCGAACTCACCTCTACCATCTCGGCCGGGAAAAAGGTACTGTTCTCCGGCACGAATCTGTGGGCTCCCGTGGCAAACTACGCCTACTTCGGACTCTCCGTGTCTACGCGCCTCGCACTTCGCGTTGGCTTGCGGTTTGTGCTAGTGGCACAGTCGGCGGGTTAGGGCGCAAGTTCTGTTGGAAGGCGATGACAACACAAAACTACACAGGAATAGACCTTAAACAGTCCCTGTAGGGACGTCAAACCGATCAAACCGCTTCATGTCGGGGATGGGATCGCAATAGCAGGGGGTCTCGGATGTTATTGTGTTTTGTACAGGGAGATGGATGTCACCGAATTCGTGTCGCTGCCAGTACGCAGCAAGTCCCGCTCTAGCTGTTCTGGCTGACAACAACATATAGGCTAGTGAAGCAATGCAGATCACAGACGACTCGTCCTGAAGAAGAGAATCATCGGAATTTGGGTAGTCGCTTTCTCGAGCCTCCCGAAGTCTTTCGATCCGATGATTTTCTGTGTTGCCCAGCAAGCAGTTCTAAGTCCTTGTACCTTGTGGAACCGCTCACGCTGCAGCTTTTTCGCCATGAAACGGGGCTGCGGCAATAGCGGAGCATGGGAGGAGGTGCGCTTGCCAGTGTCCACGATGCTGTACAGCCAGGCATGGCCCATTTGCGATGACTCCGTGGATGAGGACGAGCAAGAGTTTCACCTCTGCGCCGCATGCATCCGCCGATCTTCCCAAGAGATGGAGGACCGGCCTGCAAGCCGCATCGTGCAGAGCAAGCTGGAGAAGTCGCTGAGGCTTCTGAAGGCTCCAGGGGCGGCCGTGACCCACAGATGCGAGAGATCTGAGAGCGGTTCGACACCTTCGGCTTCGCGTGAGGAACTCTTGGAGGCTGCAGCTGCTCGGGGCTTGGATGGTGTGCTCTTCCCCGGCGGTGCCCTCGCGCTGCTGGCACCGCGCCTAGCGGTGGTGGATGATGACAAGCAGGAGGGAGTCATGCAGCAGCTCATCTCGGATATGTTCACGAAGATGAGCTTGAAAGCCTGAGGGCACACTATGGGGATGTAGAGCCATGTAGAGCCACTTAGTGACTTAGCGATTCCCCGTCTGCTTCAGACGTCCGCGGATAAGGGGCCGCGGGGGTGTTGGGTCATAGAACGGCCTCCCGGGCAACGGATCGACTCTGGGATTTTCGAGTCGACCAGTCTCAGCCATATGTGGGAGCCCGCCTATGAGCAGTCTTGAAGCCCGGAAGCGCTAGAGAGCAGACAAAAAGAGTTAGGCAGCTTTGCGGTCTTTCGGATATGTCCTCAGCTGTGCAGTGAGCGCCTCCTCAGCTGTGCAGTGAGCCAGGTGTACCTACTTGGCTACTTGTTGCCCCGATTGACAGTCAAAGTTGCAGAGCTTCACCGTCCACTTCTACCAAAATAATCAGAGCTACAGATTGCTACAGTACGCTTTCTGCTTCTCGTAGTAGTAAATAGAAGCAAAAGCTCCAATTTTAAACCTACCCATTTTGAGCGTGATGGCTACCTTTCCCTATCTTCGCGATCGGGTTGCTTGTAGGAGTTTCTGGAGGAGGTTGCCATGAAACTGCTTGGTAACCTTAGAAGGGCTCCTCATTGAGAGTGCTTCACATCATCCACCTACGCACCCAACCAGCTCGCCTGGATCGTCGGAGTGTCAGCAACGAAACCTACCGCTTGACTACCTGGGCTTCTACCGCACGGAGGCCGCCCTTATAGAACTGCTGTGCAGACTTTTTTGCAATCCTACAAAGCACTTATCAAACCTATGCAAACCGTATCACAACATGCTAAAAGCCCCATCCGACGCTGTAACATCGCTTGTAAGCCCTAAAACCCTACCCAGCCGAGACTCGTGCTCGGCAGCATTGCGCTGATGATCGCGTCTGAGATCCTCTTTCGGATCGAGGAGCCGAAAGTCTTTCTTCGAATCCTGGCCAGGAAACACCACGGATGGACAGAATTGCACACAGACATACATACATGTTTTGTGAGACTGTCTTCCGTGCCCACCCTGACCATTCGCCGGGTGCCTGAATAATAGGATGCCGGTTTGCTCTCCCGCACACCCCCCCTCGTCCTGGTAGAGCATTTATTGAGAAGTACATAAGGGCATTAGTACACGGCAGTAGTACAGTAGTGCAACACTGCAATAGTACATCAATGCATTTAGGTGCTAGGTAATTGCAAGGTATAGTAGTACAAAGGTCCAGCAGTTGGCCGACAAAACCGGAGAGGCAAGACACTCTAACCAGAGATCTTAAAGAAAGCTACCCTAAACCTTAAACCGACACGCTTTTTTCACATTCTGGCAGGAGCTGCCCTCCAAGCAGCAAGGCGGCTCAGGGCGTAGGTCATAGCGGCTATTGGGATAAAGTCCTGGATTTGGGATTTTGGGGGGTAAAGAGTTCAGCTTATGTAAAGTGTACAGAGTTTGGGGCTTCGGGGCTTCGGTGTCTAGAGTCTAGGATGCAGTGCTGGTCGGGTGCAGGTGCTCCGCAGAGCTGTCGTCGTGCGTACATGTCCATGCCAATGCATGTATGCATGTATACATACAATCATTTCCATATGTTTGCAGAGATAGGTACACAGACAGGTAGGTAGACAGACAGATAGATAAGTAGAAAGATTAGATGCGAGGACATAGCCAAACATTCAAGGACTGGTTTTTCAGTATCTTTAGAACACCAAAATGTCTTTGCAGAAGCAGCTCCATGCTGCTACAGAATTATGGCAAGATTGAGTCCCCTCAGTCTAAGCTTCCGCTGACCTTCGAGGCCGCTTGGTTGAGAAGCTGACGAGACTTGGCCTTCTTAGGCATGCTACACCGGTTTAGGGTTTGACTGATGCCAACTTCATGCGCTGTACTGTCGACTTCAGTCCCGTGTAAAAGAAGGTTTTTAGGGTGTAGGGCTTGATCTATAAACATGTAACAAGAGCACGGCATAATGCAGAAGCATCTAGCGGAACGTGACATTCTGCCGCCGCAGCGGCTTCTCCCAGCAGGTAGTCCGGTTAGGTGTCTCGCAAGCTGCAAGGCCCTGAGGTCGCGGTTGTGATTTTTTTGTGACATGGTACAACAGAATCCGGATAATCCGGCACATCAGAACATGGCCGCGCAGAAGAGAGCATAATGTAACAGCACCTAACTGCAAAGACTCTTGCTGCCTCCGGTCCCAACGCTTGTCCAGGAGACATTTCCGGCTCATCCGCACGGCTCCTAGAGATCAAGGGGACGCCTAGGCTCTTGGATGTTCGCAGGGAGCCGATGAGCTCGTAGTCCGGGCTTCCCTTTGCAGGGTTCACGGCTTAGGGTTTGGGGTTTAGGGTTCAGGGTTTGTGGGTTAGGTTATTGAAGGTCTGATACTAGACTAGAAGATCTGGTACTACAGGCTGATATCTGTTTTTTGAATCCTTAAATCCTCAAACCCTGAATATAAGGGCAGTAGCCTACTCAAGAAAAAAAGTTGGTCTTCCAGGGGTAGGTCTGGACGCCTGTGCTGGTGGATCTGACGGGCCTTCTCGAACCATACAACCCAACCAGCAGAAGAGTCAGCACAGGTGTGCTCTACATGGCATCCCTGCTGTCGTGGCTGTGTTCGATGCTTTTCTCCTCCGTCGTGAAGTATCCCAAGTTATGGTGGGCATCGCTCCTTGGCCCAATGTTGAGCCGCACTTCAGGTAGACACAGTTCGACATGACTTGCCGAGCTGTGCCAGTCGAGGGTCCACACGCTGGGAAAACTCGGAACCCTATCCCGGTTCGTTTTTCCCATTCGACCCTCGCAACACGTCTCCTTACATGGTCAAGGCTCTCGTGGAGTGCGGGGGGCCTGGCCTCTTTGCAGCAAGTCGCAAAGCTTTGGTAGTTCGACTTTTTTTCTTTCGGATTCCGACATACTGCGTTTGCTCGGCTGCCAACATTTGCAGCCTTGTTGCCCTAAGTCTGATGGCCGCGCTGAAAACCCTAAACCCGAAACGAGTAAACCCCAAAAGAAACACTAGCTCCGAAAACCGTTGTTTCCCTGCAGGGCTGTCACGTCAACAACACTTCAGAAACTCTACGCCTTGCCTCTTGTTTGCCTACCCTCTCTACTCTTTTGCAGAAGGAGTCTGACCATAACATCACGATCCAGGTAAGTACTATGTTTGCTATAGCTATTATTAGATTACTATTATTACTAATGCTGTTATTTAAGCTTGAGCCATCCCTTAAGCTGCAAAGGTGGTCCTCTTGCTGACCTGGGCGTGGATCTACTGCATGGTCCCTCGGTTCAAGGATAGTCATAAGGGTTGCTATAAGAAAGAGATATCTTCGTTGCATACGGGTTACCGTCCATCGGTCACTTGAAGATGTCACAGCTTCTGTCGGGGCTCTAGGGTTCAAGTTATCGCTGTCACTGTTCCCGAAACTCATGACTTTGGTACAGACCAGCCGCATCCGGCGGATCTTAAGCCCAAATCAGCCCAGCAGGCCTGAAACCCTGAACCACTCAACGGATACACAAAGTCCTCAAACATCAGCTCCAAGCCCGTAAAGTCTTTGTCAAAACTTCGGACCACCAGGTGCGGAGGACTATCTGCGGTGCCGGTGCAAGCAGCTTTGCTCCTGGGACGGAAACGTCATGGAGTCGATCTCGGGTAGTCCAGGGGGATCGGGAGCTCTGGGTTCAATGCTCTGCTGGGCTTTAGAATTGTAGAACTGCAGATTGGGGGAAGGTCTTTTCAGCTATGGGTTTGGTCCGCACAATCTGGCAGGGGTTCTGTTGGAGTTGTTCCTGTCGTCTGGGGAAGTAGCTTCGGTGTCTTGCCCCATGTATGACAGACACCAATCGTGCCGAATCCGTTTCTCCTAGAGGTAGCTCCTTGTAGCATGTTCGAGATTTTGGAGTTCCTGCAGCAAGGACAGCATCGTGAGCAGCGCGAGCGGCGAGAGTGAGGATTCCCATTCAGGGAGTTGCTGAGACCAGATCCAGGAAGCTTTCACCATCCGCGGGTTGCAGGATTATGGCGGCCAGCCTCGGTGTAGTGGGCCTCAAATTCCTCACCGAAACCGAGGTCGTCATGAGCTCCAAAATTGTCGAAAAGTATCGGAATAGTAGAGGGGACCTTCAGAGCTTCAGAGAGTGTCACCGTTGTTTCGCGTACGATGACCGGCATCATCACCACCGTCATCATCAGCATCATCGCCATCCTCATCCTCACCGTCATCATCATCACCAACATCGTCTTCATCGTCGGTATTGTCGTCACCAGCATCACCAGCAACATCATCAACTGCCGAATGCTCTTGTCTCCCTGATTCTACCGTTCTACCATCACATCTTGCACTATCTTGCTCATGAGCCCTAGGCGGCAAGTCTTGCCATCATCCATGTTTGGGCTTTGCGTCTGCATCCTGTTGCCCAGCTCAGTGCTCATAGGATGAACTGCCACTTGCGACCGGATGGTCACAGGCATCTTCAGCGTTTCCCCAGAGGGCGATGGCCTGGGAGTTCAAAACGGCTTAAACACATAGAAGTAATTAGTGGCGAGTACGAACCGCGACGACGAATTTTCAATCTGGCTGCCCGGGCGGTCAGATCGTCTGAGTAATTGCACGTTCACCTCGAGCCACGCCCCCTGTGAAATGCACAGTGCGTTGCCAATGGGCCACAGTGGTCCAGAAGGCAACCTGCAAAGCTTCACACGTCGTGATACCGGCCGTTTTCAATTTCGCTTGAAACGCTAGGCCGCCAAAGCCAAAATTTGCTTCCAGTGTTGGACGATCCGCGTCCTGCCCCGCTGCTAGGGGATGTCGCTACGGCAGGCAGGGCGCGGCCTAGCCCGAAGGGTCCACACTGAGGTCCACGAACACCACCCGATCTTCCTGCAGGTAAACAGGCTTGGCTAGGCCTACGCAGGGATTTCTGCCACACAGGGAGCGCAGTAATTATCGCACTTGTCGATACACTTCGACCATGGCCGCTATGCTGGCCATGCTTTTGCTGCTCGCCGTTGTTTTCAAGCGATCATGAAGTCCTGTAGCTTCGGAAAACACGGCAACGGCAGTGTCCCTGATCCGGACGCAAAAGCATTCAACTGTGGCTGCATGCTTGCGAATTCGACTTCTCTTTGGCCTAGCCTTCGTCCACGATCATCCCTTCGTCATTTAACGCAATTTACTACTGACTAATTTAGAGTCCCCATACTACCTAGCTGTAGTTCCGCTATAAACTGAAATGTACCCGGAAAGCTACGGCCAAGGATTTATCTTAGCAGAAGGAGTAGCTCTGCAAGCTGCGAGCGGCAGCGATAAGAGATCCGTCCCTCCTGCGCCCCCCGATGTGCTATAAGGGTTCCTTGAAGGGATCGACAGAGGCTCCTTTAAGGGTTCCTAAAAGGGTATTACAAGCTTGTTATGAGAGTAGTATATCCATCGGCCAGAAGGGTGCTACAAGGTTGTTGGACAAGTACGATAAAGGTACTATACGGGTATCAGAAGGAGCTACAGACTTATATAAGAGCACGACAAGGTACTATGAGGGGTCCATACCTTTACTCAGCTTACTTTAAGAGTACTAAACGGGCGCATGGGGTATTATGAGGATCCGGTAGGCCATCGCAGGAAGTAGTCTGGCCTTGCATCGGTAGTGCCCTGTCAGGTACCTGCCTTTCAGTCACTGTTTGGTGCACCTGATCTTTTTGACTAGAAACTTGCACCATGCATCTCCATTTCTTGGCAGTTCGTATTGCCGTGGAGGCGGCCCGGCCAGGTAATCTGCGTCATCCTGCATCCGCAGCCTTGTAGAACTTCGGTCGGGGTGACACGGGGGGCCTCTGCGGAGCGCAGACCATTGGTGAGCAACAACTGCACGATCCCGTGCCGACGACCTTGTCTTAGCACCTTAGCTTCTCCGCTGCAGGCCCGCTGGAAAATGACCCATTCTGTGGCTATTGAACTCCAGTTTCGGTGTTCTTCTCACGTTACAGTTTGCTTTCAGAGAGGTCCGCGGGCAAGTTCTAGCTTTGCCAATCTTGATATGGCTTAGCGACATGTCAAGAAACATTCCTATGACTCCATGATACTCATAGCTTCAGAGTGGGGGTTGCGGAATCCGGCAACATCAGATTCTTCAAGATGCGTGTCTTTGGTGGCTGGATTGTTACAGTAATGCCTTCAACATCCAGCAGCCAGAAAGACAGGATGCAACAGCAAGGAGGAAGCTGTGCTTCGGCCGACGGCCTTGCAGACCACCACCACGTCTGACATTGGCAATCTCATTCGGACTGCAGCGGTCGTCATGCTCCTTCGGGATCTTGATACATGAGTTCGCATCCGACACATACCGCGGAGACTTCTCTTGCAACCTCAAACCCTGGATCCGGCAAGGTCCCCAACCTCCAAGTCGAGCCCCGCCTACCGGTTCCTACCGCTTGGTGTACATAACCTTGCGCTGAGGTTCGAAGCATCGGCTGCTCAGTTCTCTGAGTGCGTTGTAGAAAGAGGGTTGTCGGAGCAGAGCCTTCAGGCTGAGGCAGGGTCGTTCTGCTTTACGCGCAGGTACTGTAGGGTTGCTCGGAAGATGCTTGAACCAGGGGATCAGCGTGAAGTGGTCAGGTTTGGTGGTTCACAGTGCCAGGATCTTGTTCTTAAGACGTTGCAAGGGCCAGCATGGGAAATTCCTCGTGCCGTCTAGCTCAAAGCAAGAAGACCGCACGGGCGCATCGATTCCAAAGTGGCTCGTGGAGTTCCGGATGTTTAGCTTCTCATGGTTTTCAAGCAAGTTTTGAGGTTGGCGTCGAAGGACTTGCCGGAAGTCATGACAGCTTGTTGCCAGCTTTGCCTAGCTCTCTAGTCATGGGTTGGACCAGCACACAATCATCTCGTGTTCGGCAGCCCAAGTTTAGCGATGGTCTTTGTCTAGGGTGGCATAGCCCTGCCCTATCAGCACAAGATTTTCTAAGTTCTGCTCGCCACTGCCATGCCACGTTGCAAATTATACTGCATCGTTGTCATGGATTCTCGTGTCGAGCCCCTAAAACCTTGATTTCGATTGGCCTACGGGCCTTCCTGATTGCGACGCCCACTTGATTCAGGGCTTCGCGTGTACGTGCCTCTCAGCCTGACAGCAAGGTGTTAAGGGGATTTGGGAATGCCGGGGTAATGCAAGAATGACAGCGATTAAAGACTCATACTGAGGTGTCACTATGTGGGTCACTTGCTCGACTCTACTCCACCCACGCTGTGTGTGCTGACACGTCGGTTCAAAGTGTGATCGCCCAGGATTCATGTGCAGCTAGCTTGGCAGTTGTCGGAAAGCGTATCCTTTGAGCAGGATGCATGCGTCTTACAAACCGGTAAAGCGTCCTCGCACGTGCTATCTGCAGAAATCACTGTTGGTGCAAGCGACGTCTGGCCAACATGGTGAGGCACCAAGAGCGCCGGAAAGCGCTTCTTTCGTTGCTCTTAACTTGGCTGGAACTTTGATCATGGTGATGGCGGCAATGATAATCACGATGGTGATGATGATGATGATGATGACGATGATGAGGGTAATGATGATGGTGATGATGATGATGACGATGGTGATGATGATGATGATTATGATGATGATGGTGGTGGTGGTGATGGCGACGATGATGTTGACGATGAACATGATGTTTCTTTCTTTGTCTCTATGCCAGAAATGGTCACGATGAGGCATGTTTCGCTTCCTTTAGTTGCATTAGCCACTTGTACCATTCGCTTGTCAATGAATTGCACTCATACCGTTGTGACAGTTCTGTCATTGGCCACCGAGCCAGCCCGACAGTCCCGCTCACCGATGTTGCTACCCAAGATGCCATCCCACATCATTTAATGTTCCATAGAGCCCAGCCGGGGATCACTGTGGGAGAGAGTCGAGAGCCTTTAGGGTAAGCCCTGACACCGGCTCCGACTTTATCTGACCCGTAAAGTATACCTGCCAGACAGCGACAACAAATCTCACAACCGAAGAGTTCTGAGAGTTTCTGCAGCCCAAGGCACCATGGCAAAGGCGGGCTGCAAGAGGCGCCACTTGCTGAAGCCGTGCTCCGTCCCTTCAAACTTTAAGGGGCATTCCGTTGGCGCAGGAGGCTGCATGTATCTGAACGAGTTTTCACCTTGTTTCAATTCAACAGGCACGGAATCATCTCACTTCAAAGTGGTTTGGTTCATGACTTCTTGGGCTTCGCTCCTGTGTAATTATGAACATCAAAGAAGGGATGTTGCTTGCTCTCTGGCGGAACATTCGTCAGCTTATCGACCCCCGATGTCTCAGCACGCACATGCCGTCTGCATGTGGTCGGAGAATGGATCGCGGAGGCACCGCTTCGCTCAAGATACTGTAGCTGCTATGGCAGCTAACATCCCAAGCCTTACTGCTGCACATCAATAGTTTCAGGAGCCGTTTCATAAAAAGAGGCCTGGACGATACTTAGATCTCCCGACAGGAACCCCCCTTTTGAACCCCTGCACCCCAAACAAACCCTTCGGGGAGGGAGAGCGTGTTGAAGGGTCTGCAGGGCTTCTGTTTGCGCTGTCGTTTGCTTGTAAGTACACACCCACGTACATCCACGGATACATCAACTCCTGTGAATGACGTATATAATTAAGTGTAAAACCCGTACAGCACGTATTCTCTGATGTTAGACATCGAAGCTGCCTTTGGGTGTCTTGCACTTGCTGTCAGGCTGGCCTAGGCAGACAGGTAAGAGCTCGCCGCCAACACTAAATCAGTATATTATATTATCCTGTGTTGGCATTATATATATCAAACTATAGTATCTAGTATTATAGCATAGTATACTGTATGAGTATATGACCTCGAATTTCATGGAGGCTCGGCCTTGCGCCTGGCACCCTTGGCGCTCGTAGCGAGCGGCTCAGATAGGAAGCACTGATCCCCCGTGCGCACGGTGTTGCGTAGCGAACGCCGGGTTTACGGGTTGGTGCTTAGCTTTGGGCTGTTGTTCGATGGGGTCAAGGGTTCAGTTTCACAGTGCCGGCCGGGTACTGGACTGGAGCTGGAAGCCATGCATTCAAGCAGAGCATTGGTTGCTGTTTTATCCGTGGCGGGTTTCAGAGCAGGGCCTTGCTGTGGGAGTTCGTTCCCAGGCATCGGCCACCCTTATCTCTTCTCAATGCTTGCCCCAGACATGTTGAACTCGACGATTATTGATGAGAGGGTGTGGGTGAGCAGTCGTCGGTAGTTACCTGCAAGTAGCTTCCAGACTAAGTGCGACTGGAACTTAGTATGTTTGATGGCCCGTTCGTCCCTGCCGGTAGGCTTTTGCCCACAGGTTGCACCGTTCAACATCACATGTTAAGCATTATGTCTTGTCCAGAGTCAGCAAATCTGCAGCAGTTCGATGCTAAATACAACATGCCCAAGCCATGTACCCTTTAGACCCTAACCTTGTGTGTTGCGCGGATGATGTGGACTTGAAACTACTTCAGTAAATGTCTTGGTGACAGAGTCAGACGAGACAGATAGCTCCGACACGTCTTTGGACGACATCCAAATAAGCCACCACCGTTTCAAAGCCGAAGCAGCAGATCAGAAGCTTCTGCAGCAACTTGGGGTTTCGGGTGATAGTTTGATAGGGTTTTGGATCTTGGTTTCAGAGAGCACGCCATGTCGCAGCGAGTTGCCCAAGCTGTCAAGACTGCAGCCGGGAGGACTTGGCACTTGATAGAAGAAAAAGAATGATTACCAATAGAGTGTTGTTAGGCGTTGGAGCCAAGACTATCGATTTTGTGAAGACACCGGACGAGTTCACATGTGCGTTGCACCGGCTCACTTGCAACGAGCTGGGAGCCCTTGCCCTGTGAACCCTTGTGATTACGCCAGGATTTCGCTGGTGTTTCCAGACAAGGCGGGCGCTGCAGCATCGGCGTGCAAGCATGCAGTCTCTCTGTCTCTGTGTGTGTGTGTGTTTGTTTGTTTCGGCCTCTGTACGTGTGTGTGTGTGTGTGCGCACGTGCATCTATGCACGCGCCTATGATTCCAATCCATCTGTTTGCTGGTTTGGACATGGGTAGGAAGGCCGCGGTGCAGGGGTGGAGGGGCTGGGCTTCTCTTGCTCTAGCGGCTCTAGCATCTGGTGTCTGAAGTTGTTCACGTGTCCATGAGCGCTGAAGCTGTCGTGTTGCAGCGGCGGTATTTAGAAAGGGTCGTGATGAAGTCAAGCGACGACCTTGACCGCAACCGCAACCCCCCTGATGCAAGTATCCGGGTTGAACTGTGCCCGCCTACCGGGCTGAACACTCGCGGGCTGATTCCAAAATGCTGGCTAATGGCGTGAGTTTCTTAATCTAACAGCCTCCACGAATATGGGCATCTCACGAGCTGTCTTAAAGGCGTTGTGTGCAAGGGGCGGGATATGTCATAGGTTTGTGAAGATTTAGTGACCTTCAACTTTTTGTGCTCTTCATGGAGTCGGCTGGGTAGCAGCGACCAGGAGCATTTGCTTTAGGTTTGGCATCCATTGGGTTTCGCGAACGAAACCATTGACAAAAAAAGAACCCAAAGGAGGACACCGATGATCGCAATGGGGATGATGCTAGTATGTCCACGAATTTGCAAACCCGTTGGCCGAAGATGTGCTAGAAGAAACCATGCTAGCAGGATTAGCATCACGAAGACGGTGGTCACGATGATAAAGATGCCCGGATCGACGCCGACTCGACGACGACATTGGGGGCCATGATGCCGATGATGGTGATGCTGGTGATGCCTGCCGATGATTACGATGCTGATGGTGATGATGAGGATGACGGTTTTGCTTATGCATATATATATATATACACATACATACACATATGTGCATATATGATAATGCTCCTGCGAGAGTGTTTCTCAGGCAGCCCATGTTGAGCATTGTCTTGGCATATTGCAGCCAAGGCGGCTGGTAAGGATGATTATGACGATGGCAATGCAGTTGATGGCGCATGGTGCTGATGATGGCGGTGAGTACAGTCATGTCGGCAGTGATGGTCCCAGCAGGGTCTGCGAAAATGTTGAAGTGTCGTGATCCTGGTGATTGTGGGATGTTGCGGGGGTGTGGGTGATTTGGCTGCTGACAGACGAACAAGAGGATGATGCCAGTGATGGTGACGGTGATGACGATGATGATGATGATGATGACGACAATGATGATTTTGAGGATGAGAATGAAGATGAGGATGATGATGCTGATGATGATGACATGTTCTGAAGGTAGATGAAAGTGATGATGGTGCTGCTGTTGTTGATGCTGGTTCGTTTCTGAGTGTGGTAGGGCCGGAGCCTGAAGTAGTGCTGGTAGTGCTGACAGTGATAGTCGTAGCAGTGGTGGTAGTAGTAGTTGTTGTAGTCTTAGTAGTAGTAGAAGCATCAGCAGCAGCAGCAGGAGGAGAAGGAGTAGTGGTGGTGGTGGTGGTAGTAGTAGCAGCAGCAGCAGCAGTAGCAGTAGCAGTAATGGAACTGGTAGTAGTAGTCGTCGTAGTAGTAGTAGTAGTAGCAGCAGTAGTACTATTGCTGCTGCTGCTGCTGCTACTACTACTACTACTACTACTACCATAGTGGTAGGGTTTCGGGCTCTACGGTTTAGGGCTCTAAAAGGTTTAGGCTCCAGGTTTAGGGATCTACGGTTTAGGGCTCAGGGTTTGGGGCTCTAGGGTTTAGGGCTCTAGCGTTTAGGGTTTAGGGTTCTAGGGTTTTGGACTCTAGGGTTTAGGGCTGTAGGGCTTAGGGCTCTAGGGTTTCAGGCTCGAGGGTTTAGGGCTCTAGCGTTTACGTTGAACAAGATCCTTGTTGGCGCACATTTCGGTGTAAGCCGTCTAAATTTAGGGCTTAGGGTTTAGGGTTTCGGGTGTAGGGTTTACGGTTTAGGGGGTCTTGTCGATTTTTGCTCGGCAGCCTTTGCTCGTAAGCTTCCCATTCGCCCGACTTGCACTCGCCATGGCCAATATGCTGTGGCTCATCTTCTGCCTGCTCGCGGCTGTGGGGGTCCTTGTTGACTCCCTCTTTCCCTCTCTCTCTCTCTCTCCCTCTCTCTCTCTCTCTCTCTCTCTCTCTCTCTCTCTCTCCCTCTCTCTCCCTCTCTCTCTCCTCTCTCTGTCTTTTTCTCTTGGTGCTTCGTGCGTGTAACCTCCTTTTGCATGGTCCCTTGCTTCTTTTTTGTCTAGGGCGCTGCCGTCGACAGCGAGCCAGTGCCCTGGCTTGGAATTTAGTTGGGTTAGGTTCAAACCGGTGCCCTTTTTTGGGAGTGGTGTGATTCTGCTTGGCTTGCTGAGTTTTAAGTTAAGGAGGAGCTTCCCGGCTCGCATGCGCCTTGACTGCAAGTCGTTGTGCTTTTGGTCTTCTGTTCGTGGGTTTCGGGTTTGCTCCTATTTTCCTTTCTCTCTCTCTCGCTCTATGTCTTTTTCTTCACTTGTCTTTTTTTGTGTCTCTATTGAGGACGACGATGACGTCTTGGAGGTGGCCCCATTTCCGGCAGCTTGGCTTGGGTTTATTGCTGTCGGCGTTGCTTGGCTGTTTGTCTTGGACTGAGGACCCGGAACCTACCAACGTCGCTTGGCTCTTCTTCGTTCTTGTCTTTCGTTTGCTTTCGGTGTTGGCTGGTTGTCTTGGACTGAGAACCCGGCACCCGGCAATGCCGCTTGGCTCTTCCTCGTTCCTGTTTTTCGCTTGCTTTTGGGGTGTTATTCTTTTTCCTCTCTCTGGTCGTCAGCCTGGGCGTCTGAGGCTGCTCCCTACGTGGTGTCTTGGCATGGCTTCTGTTCGTTTGTTTTTGCAGTGTCTCTGTGTTTCTAGCTGTGCTTCTCTTGCTTTTGTGCTTGTCAGGACCTCTTCGAGCGCTGGGAGCTTTATTTGGCCGCTGGGCATTTTTAGCTGGTCGTCGTGTCCCTGCTTGCTTCTTTCTTGGTGTCTTGCTTTAGCTGAGGAGGAGACACCGTCGCCAATCCCTGAGCAGGTCTTGCCCGTGTCTTGGTTTTTTTATTTTCTAACTTTAGCTAATTGTTTATTTCCTTTTTTTGTTGTTTCTTTTCGTTTTTCTTCATTTTTTTGTGGCGAGGACGGCGAGTACAGGCAGCTTCCAGTTACAAACCTTACACCACCACCGCCAACACCCCCCCTCTCCCCCTCCACTGCCCAGCCTCTCCCGGGGCGCCACCTTCAACCGCTCCCACCCCAACCGCATCTTTCACCGGTCCCCCACAACCCCACCCCTCCATCTTTTTCCCCCATTCCCCTCGAGAACGATGTCGGGTTTGCATGCTTGCCTTTAGTTGGTGTGGTCTTTGCCTTGGTTTCTTCGAGGCTACGCAATTTGACGGGCTGCTCGCGGTCTCTTGGCGTCAGGCGTGTGCTTGCTTTACGGCTCTGGCCGTACTTTGACTTAGGCACAGTTTGAAATCTTCTCGCCCGAGCCACCAGCCCCCATTGTGGTGGACTTAGTTTTGTGGCCAGTTCTTGGTGTTGTGGTGTAGGCTTTCTTGTTGTGTCTTTGAGGAGCTTGCATCTGGATCTGCTGATGTTCCCGCTCCTTGGTTCTTGTGTCTGTTGTGGTCTGCTTTGTTTTTGTTGTGGTGTCTCCTCATCCTAGGTAATCATACCGGCCGAAGAGTCGGGATGATGAGATCCCGGCCACTTTTGGGCCAACCTCTTCTCGGATGCCGAAGAGGAAGAGGACGAGTCTCGGCTGTTCTCTGCGGGAGGGTTTGTCAGGACGTGTTGTTTTTGTTTTGTTTTTTTGCTCAGGAAAGTCCTCGCAAACGTGCACGCGAAGGGTGGAGGACCTGATCTTGGGATGCGGATTTGTCTCTGCGACTTTGGTTTGGAGTTGGGTTTTGGGGCTGGGGGTCTGGGGCTTGATCCTTAACGTCTGGGTTTGGGTTTTGACTCGGGGTTTGGATGTAGGTCCTGGACTAGGGTTGCGGGGATTTAATGTCTAGGTGCTCTGCTTGGGTTTGAAAAAACTACTACTACTACTACTACTACTACCACTACTACTACTACTACTACTACTACTAGCTGTTGTTGGTGTTGTCATAGTACCACACTTAGTGCAGTTGTAGTCGTACTCGTGCTCGTAGGACTAGTCGTCGTCTCGTAGTGATAGGGGTAGTGGTAGTGGAAGTTGTAGCGGTAGTGGCAGTGGTAGCGGTAGTGGCAGTGGCAGTGGCAGTGGCAGTAGTCGTGCTTGTAGCGGTGGTTGCGGTGGTCGTCAGAAGTACAGAGGCCGGCTGCAAGGACAGTCGGCCCCAGACCGTATGCGGCATAGTCAGCCTTGCTACCGTCGTCATCACGTAATACTCTACTGCCAGGAGCATCAGTCAGTTCAGTTTTTTTTGACTGGTTTCTGTCGCAATCACTGTCATGGCCCTCACGATGTTGTTATGTTCTTGGCATCTGACCACAACGTCCGCACGGACTGCAGGCCCCAATCGAGTTGCATCCCCTTTGGCTGCGCCTCAATGACCCGAGTCAGGCACACCGAGCTTCTGAGTACCAGATGTGCTCGTACTAGCAGTGATCACAACGGCAATAGCAACAAGGGGGCGGCTGGTATGACTTGAGGTTTCAGAGTTTCATGATTTTCGGGTTTCTGGGTTTAGGTGTCGTATGGTCGTCACTCAAGAGTCAAGTGTTGCGGGGTAAATGCGCCTAGTGTGGAATGAAGGGTCGATACACGCCCGAGGCGTAGCAAATGGCCAGGAGTCCGTGTAAAGCGGAGGAATTGGAATTTTAAAATTTTGATCAGACACGGACTGCTCTGGGCGATGAGTCGTGCTTCCAGGCAACCCGGAATCAACAGCGCCTCTTTGAAATGTCTAGCGTCGTTACTGGAGGCATCAGCCACTCGAAGCAGCAGAGAAGGGAGTTATCTGCATGTGCGTGTGTAGGGCCTCTGTTCTGGACGTATGCTCTTTATACGCACACATAGACATACATAATATATGTATGTATGTATGTATGTATGTATGTATATATATATACACCCATACACATACACATAGACATACACATACACATACACATACACATACACATACACATACACATACACATACATACATGTATATATGCTAACATTGCAAATCCAAAGATTATGTAAAAATATTTGGATTTGGAGATTTCTGTAACAGTTGATACTTTCTTATACTAGTCCGTCATGAGGTTCAAGCAAAACACAATTCAGTCGAATCTCGTGGCACAGTCTTGGGTATACACAGTTCGTTTATTGCCGTTGCGACTTGTTTGAAGTTTGCCTCGTTATGCTCCGAACCACAGTCTTTGTGACACGGTTTTGGGTGGAATTGTGAGTTTCTGATAACAGCAAAGTCATCTGTATTTACGGTGGTTTCTATGTGTTTTATATATCGAAGCAAGACGGAGGTGGATCATGGGGTGTGTGACCATATATACATATAGAGAGAGAGAGGGATAAAGAGAGAGCAAGACAGCTACACACACACACACACACGCACACACACACACACGTGTACTGGTACATAAAGCTGCCGATCTACGGACTCAGCACGAGTGACACATCGTGTTTTAATCGCCCCAGGCAGGTTATATTGATTACGTATTGGTTCTGGTGATACCTGCCTAGCTCATCTAGTTACATCTAGTTCAGTCTCACAGCAACCCTATACGTAGGCCTTAGCTTCGAACTGCTGACCTTGCGTCCGAGGCCCCAGCGTCGACCACTGCACCAGCGCTGAATCGGAGCTGCATGTCTCCTGGAGTGATGGGCTTCAGAGCCAATATCCCTGGAGCTGGTTGGAGCGGCAGATGCAGCCGAACACCGTGGAGAGGTTCTTGTGGAGAAAAGGCTTCAGCCAGTTTCTCCCTGAAATTCCGTACACGTCCCTGAATTCACGGATGGGCAAGCTACAACTCTGCAGTTATCTTGAAAGATACGGACTGGGTGTCATCCGAGGAGTAGATATCGAGACGGGGATGGTTGCCAAAGTGGGGAACCAGATCGGCAATGTGCGTGTGACAAACTACGGTTCCATCTTCGATGTGCAGGACAAGGGTGCTGAGGCTACAAATCTCGCTTTTACTAGCCAGAGGATCCGTGCACACACGGACAACCCATACAGAGACCCCTTTCCAGGTGTGCAGATGTTGCACTGCTTAGAAAGTGCTGAAGAAGGTGGAGCCACTATGTTCATCGATGGTTTTCGGGTGGCTGAAGAGCTTCGAATCCAAGATCCTGAGGCTTTTCGCATGCTCGCAGCGACTTCGCACCCCTTTGAATATCGAGATCCAGACGAGGGAGTGCTGCTGCGCGCGACGGCGCCCGTGATCCAGCTCGACCAGGCCAATGACGTCCAGCGCATCACTTTCAACAACCGATCAGCAGCGGCTCTGCCAGCATCTTTCCCGAACCTGGAGGAGCACAGAAGCATCCTCAGTTCCTCCGAAGCTTCAAACCAGCGAGCTCGAAGAGGCCAAATTTACGACAAACCAGAACATGGCCCAATTCGAACACCGAGACATTGCTGAAGCCTAATGAAACCTACGTCATCCGACATCTGTAGACCTAGCCCACCGCCAGGAGTACTACAGGGCATGGGCAGCGTTTGACTTTCTGGCCAATTCGGATGACTACGCCGTGAAGCTTCTGATGAGGTGCCACAGTCTAAACTCTGGGTTCAAATCTACAGTTGGCGCTTACATGGGGATGCTGCCGAAACTATCTGCCGGCCTGCCTTAGCGAAGGTACACTGTAGTGTAGAGCGTTAACCATTTGAGTATGGCAACCACATCAACCCAGTTTTGGGTGTTCCTAGGCCAGGGGACTTGGCCATTTGGCTGAATGGTCGCGTCATGCACGGCCGCGAGAGTTACTGCGCTGGTGGCCGGCGGCACATTCAGGGTGCATATTTGGATCAGGACTCCCACATGGTATTCGTTTTGATCCACGTGAACAAGATGCATCTCGCACATGAATGTGTGCACAAATTTCCTGCGCGTGTATGTATGTATGTATGTATGTATGTATGTATGTATGTATGTATGTATATATATATATGTATGTACGTAATGTACGTACGTACGTACGTACACAGAATGTTGGTAGGTGGGTAGGTCGGTAGGTAGGTAGGCAGGTAGGTAGGTCGGTGGGTTGGTGTGGGTAGGTGGGTAGGTACGTAAGTAGGTAGGGTAGGTAGGGTAGGTAGGTAGGTAGGTAGGTAGGTAGGTAGGTAGGTAGGTAGGTAGGTAGGTAGGCAGGTAGGTAGGCAGGTAGGTAGGTAGGTAGGTACACTCTCCATCTATCTCACTCACTCACTCACTCACTCACTCACTCACTCACTCACTCACTCACTCACTCACTCACTCACTCTCTCTCTCTCCCTCTCTCTCTCTGTCGTTCTGGTTGTTCCTGGCTTTCTTACTCCCCGTGCTTGCCTGGGCTGCATGTGGAAGCATGGATGTTTCTGGGTGTGTATCGCTGTGTATACACTTCTATCTACGCGCGCACAAAGGCACACACGCACACACCACACACAGACACAGGCAAAACATGTGTCAAACAGTATACTTATGCAGTCTGGTAGGCAGACATGCAGTTGAATAGGTAACGAGTTGAATAACAAAACTGATAGACAGATAGTGAAATAGATAGGTAGCTAGGGAGGTAGATCGATAGATGATAGACCAACAGATGGATAGGTAGTCAGGTAGATAGATAGACAGATAGATAGATCGATAGACAGACAGATGGAGAGACAGACAAGTCGATGTAGATCGCTTGGGTTGGACTGGATCGGATTAGAAGACTGGCAGGTGATAATTGGGTGGTACTGATAGCTAGATAGATAGATAGATAGATAGCTAGCTAGCTAGATTAGGTAGAGTGGATAGATTAGATTAGATGCGATTCGATTAATCAGATGGGCAGGCAGGCAGGTAGAGAGGTAGGTAGGTGGGTGAGTAGGTTGATAGATACTAAGTGGGCCGGTAGACATAGCTAGATCGATCGATCAATGGATGCATGGTCGGACGGCTGGGCAGATGGGTGGATATGTAGGTCAGCACGCAGGTACGTCCGTCGCATACATGATGCGGCACCGTCTAAACTGCAACATTTTGCATGAACCTGACAGATTTACAGGTAAGAAAGCTTCGCTGGACACGAAGATCGAGAAGTCAATGTTTCGTGTTTCGTGTTCAGGATGAGATCCACTCCAGCGTCATGGCGGCCTTGGCTGAAGGTGTCGACATTAGTTCTTTTGACGTCCACAAGCTCGCAGCGAATATTTGCATGGAGGTGCTGAGCTCCCTCAGGAGGACAGCCGAGGAGGATCCGTTTCGTGAGGCCTTGAAGCTTGCAACTGCAGCCCGCAGGTCAGGGGCAGGATCCGATATTATTTTGGCGTGCTTGATGCATGCTGCATCCCGGCCACATACTTTGGAGATTTGGACCCAGGTCGCTCAGGCCAACTTTAGACAGCTCCTGGATCTTGGAGAAACGATATCGCCCTTGGCAAGGATGGGCTTTTCCGCTGAGGTCGTGGCATTCTCCCAGAAAGTTGAAGACGGTTGGCGCTTCGATGGCCTGTCACGGGAGGAGCAACAGAAATTCCTGGCCATTCCTGAAGCAGAAATGTTGCTCCAGTGCATCCGCGCATGCCGGGACGGCATGGCACCTTCGATGCCTGACTCTTTCCATGGTCTTCTCCACGAGCATTTCCAGCAGCAGTCTAAGTGATCTCAGTCGCCGCAAATGCGCCTGGAAGGCAAAGGACTCGTGCCTCTAGTTTCCGGTTGAGTCGAGTAGTCGAGCAGCACAAGCCTGTTCTTCTCTGCTATGCAGAGTCCATGTTTGCCTGTAGCTGCAACAGCTGCAACCAAAACAGGGCGGCACTCCCGAAGGGTTTCGCCCATCACTTCCGAGCCGACCATGGCTTCAGCAATCTCCAGCATCATGAACATGCCGAGGTCCTTGCGGTACTTTCCGTCGCCGGTCCAGCCGAGATCTCAGCTGGGGGGGGGCTCGACCTTCAGCTGTTGCAACAGTTGGTGTCTGCAAGCCGGCTGCATGGCATGTCCTTCTTCCCCTAAACCCTAGACCCTAGTGCGACCTAGTCAGCAAAGCGGGTGGACAAAAATGCCGACCCATGAATCCGTGCCTGCCTTGTGCGAGTGCGCGAGTCGAAACCCTAAACAAAAGACCCTAACCGCGTGACGACGCGGAGCCTTGCCTGCCTTGCGCGAGAGCTTAGAAAAGCAGGGAGAAGGCTTGTGGTGCACAGCTGCAGGCCTGGACATCCTTCGGGGCTCCGAAGGCAAACTGCAAATATCGTCATGTCATTTCTTCTGCATGGGCTTTGCCGGTGCAGGTGCAAGATCCCTCATATGCTCCCTCATAGCCTCAAATCTTAAGAGCTGCAGTTTCAAGATCCTTCTGCCGCCACCTTATGCCAAACTGCACTGGAAGCTGAAAACCTGGAGGTGAACCGCGGAGGCTCGCTTCAACGACACTTCATCGGTGAGTTGTCGTGCACCCAGCATCTTTGTGGAGCCGAAGTTGAGGGCCTTGTGTTTTGCGCGGAGTTTCTGCAGATGGGGCTTGAGGACCTTCATGGTGATCGCGGGCTTAAGGTCTCAGGATTTGATCTTGGATGTAGTCTGATGGTTATCATCCATTGGAGCTAGTCTCGCCCCAGTGGCCCTTGCAGGTTCGGTGGCGAAAGCGCAGAAGAGACTGTCGACGTGCTCGTCTCAGCTGATTGAAGTGTCGCTCATTATCCTAGCAATTTCGATTTTTTGTTGGTGCGAGCTCGATGTTGCTTCCTGGCTAAGGAAACAGACTATGGTGACGAGGAGCCGCGGCCTTTGTCGAACACGGCTGATTTCTTAATCTCGTTGGCAAAATTGTGTAGACATTGTCGTCCAATTGCCATGGTGCGTGACAGTGTGGCTCAGTAGTGATCATGTCGTATTACATACATGGCTTGGGTGGGCTGCTAGTGAAGTGTGGCTCAGTAGTGATCATGTCGTATTACATACATGGCTTGGGTGGGCTGCTAGTGAACTGTCGTCTGATGTGTGGGAGTTCCATATATCAGCGCCGACAATCAGGCCTGGCCGAGGAGGGCCCTATGCCCCAGAAGGCGGAGAGGGAGCTGTGGCTATGTAATGCATGGGGACGCGGTGAGACGCTTGGGGCTGGCTTTCTGGAATTTGGAAGTGCAGCTGCTTCTCGCCCGTGAGCCTGGCCAGCGTTTGCATGCCCCCTCCGTATCAATCGAGAAGTGCACGCCGCAGGCTCAATCAACTCTGTAGCCAACTTACTCGTCACAGAAATGGATCCATTCAGTACTGCAACACCTGAAAACGGCAGTTGCTCCAAGCAGCAGCGAAGAGGCTTCGATAGGCGTCGCATGCAGCTTGAAATCGCTGGGGCCTCGATCTCGACGGATGCCATATCGAGGTGGCGGTGTAGGGTTTAGGGATTCTGGTTTGTGGCTGGTTCCGTTCAGGACTTGGCATTGCGTAGCAACCCTCAAACCATGTCATTCTGCTGGCCCGCTACATAGTTGCTTATTGCTTGATCTACCCAAATTTCCTTGAACTGCCGAGGTTCTAAGCATCCCGGAACCTGCAAAGCCTACCTGCTTTGCAGCGGGTATTCGTATGACGCGATTCCCCAGCAAATTGTGTCACTATGCCATCAGGCACTGACAAACGAAACCTTACACCCGAAGGTGTTGGAACCAAGGACCTAGAAGCATTGAATCCCTCAGTCCTGTTTAAGATCATCGTCTGTATGTCCCTGAAACCCCTAAACCCTAAACCTACCGCTGTTCTCTCTGACTCAAACCCTGCAATGCGGGCTCGTCCTAGCCAGGTGGCAGGCAAAACAAACCAAACTTGAGAAGCCGGGGATTTTCAGCGGGGGGTTCGACTTCTCGTTACAGGTTACGAGCGGGGGCTTTTGTCTTTTGATCACTCCCTGATCTCGGTGCTGCAGTTTCACATGCCCACTCAAGACCACATGCCTCGCTTGGATGGTCCGAGTGCGGACGCCGAAACCCTAAACCCTAAGCCTCTAAACCCCCAAACCCCGAAGCTAAACAAAGCCCCTAAACCCCGAAACCCTTAAAACCCCTGCGCGGACCTTCATCAGCCATGCCAGCCTTGTGCGAGTGTGTGAGTCGAAAACCCCTAAAACCCTAAACCCTTAAAACTCCTAGAAACCCTAAGCCGCTGAGGTGAGGTATCCTCATCCTTCCCTCCGGGAGCAGAACGAGGAGATCAAGGTCTTCGACGCTGCCTCGGTGTTGCTTTGGATTGAAGATTTAGGGTCATTTAGGGTTTTGGGGCTTGGGGTTTATAGGGTCTATATAGGGTTTAGGAAGGAATGTTTAGGATGCAGTTTGGATTTGGAGGGATATAGGTTTTTGGTTGGGTCTTAAGGAGTTTTATACGGCTTCGGGGAGGGTTAAGACGGTTAAGCCGCTTCAGTTCTCCTTTAGCTCTAAGCTGTTCGCATTACTATTTCGGGTCTACGTTGGGGTGTAGTGCTCTCTGGTACTTAAGCGGCCTTGGGCGTTGAGGGTTTCTGAGGGTTCTCGTAACGGTCCTGTACAAGGGCTCTTCAAAGGTCCTGCAGAAGGGTTTAGGTTTTAAGGACAAAGGCCCCAGAAACATGAGAATCGTCGGTCACGGGGTTCTGATTTGTTTGTCCTGCGAGGAGACGTGCAGTTCGCCAGCACGATGGTCATGACGGTAATGTGCAGCATATGTTTATAGAACGGTTGTTTACAAGCACCGTGAACAGTTGTGCATTGTAGCAGTTGAGCCTTCCATAAACGAATTTAGGCATTTGGGAGTGGAATGTAAGAGTATTCCAGTGTTGGCATTCAGGGGGCATCGTCGAACTTCGGAATATGGGGGCCACGCAGCATCCGCAGGCGACAGGATTGACAGGGTTGTGGGCTGTTTGGAGTTGGACGTTGACAGTCTAAGCCTGGAACCCAGGACAGAAGACTGCGGACCTTGGCCGACAACCTCTTCGATACCCTGTATGCCACAGGCCTGGAGCTTTAGTGGCGAGTATCAGTAGAAACGTGCATGCAACACCCAAAGATACCCCAGGCTGTTGCATATGGCATGCCAGACCACATAGAACGTAATCAACACTAGGTTGATCATTAGCAACTTCATTGCAGTCCTGAGTCTCTGAAGACCAAGTACGTAGTGCGACGAAGTCCAGATGGGCTGGCGGCACTCGACGCTGTCAAAGTAATGCTGCTTAAGGCCATGTCCAGACATCCCAGGAGACCTTGAGCCCGAATATTGGAATGTTTCTAGGTGAGGGCAGTTATGGTTACATGGTAGAGGTATGTGCGTCACTTTGACAAAGATTTGGGATGGTTCTAGTTTTTTTTGTATGTGTGTCGTGGGAACAAGGTTACTGATTCGGTGGTTCCTTTAACCAGTGTTCTTGTGCGCGTGGGCGTGACTGTAGTTAGTACTGATAGGTGCAGTAGCAGCGTTTGCAGTGGGAACAGAGCCAGCAACAGGTTGTTGTCGTCGCCCCAACAGCCAAGCAGTAGCATTATGTAGCAGACGAAAAAGTAGTAGCAGTAGTAGTAGTAGTAGTAGTAGTAGCAGCAGCAGCAGCAGTAGTAATAGTAGTAGTAGTAGTAGTAGTACGGAAGAGGTTTTTGTAGCAGGAGAAGGACAAGGAGGAGGAGTGGTAGTGGCAGTGGCAGCGGCAGTGGCATGGCCGTTGCGGTGACGGTGGCGGTGGTGGTGTGGCAGCGGTTGTGGTTGTGGTAGTAACAGTGGTAGTGTCAGTAGTGGTAGTAGTAGCAGCAGCCTTGTAGTAGCAGTACGTAGCAGCGGCAATGGTGGGAGGGTCGCGAATGTCTCGTCTTCACAGCTGTCGTCGCTGTCGTGCAGCTACATATGTAGCGGCACTTCATGATGGCATTTCTGGCCTTCGCAGCCGTAGATGGTGACGACGTTTATGACGACAATGCAGATGACACTGAAGGTTAGATTATGTTGGGTTCTGGCGTTTGAGATGATGCTCGCTGTGCCAGGTGATGGAATAGGCTTGGCAGCACCTCAGGCACGGCCCGACCAAGCAGTATTTGTTTGCACACCTGTCTTCACCCGTGCTTTCCTACTACCCAACTATAGAACCTTTCCGACTGCCCTGATGGCTGCAGGAGGCAGGGTAGCTTGGCCGGGACGCTATGCAAAGAATGCACATTTGACAGTCTCCGTTTTTTTTCGTGTGGTTTAGGAGAGCCTGTGCGTGGATGGTTATAGGTCTAGGTCTGCCAACAGAACAGCTCGATCACCAACCAGTTCTCAGTCCTGCATTGAGGGATCCTCTGCAGCCAGGTTGCTTTCAGTGTTTTATCATTTCTCTAAAAGGCAGAATGCTTCGTGCGTCGGTCTTGCCTTAAATCTTGCCGGCATTGGCTACACCTGAAAGGTGGGCGTCAATCTTCGTGTGATGGTTTACAACCCAGATCCCCGAACACGGGATGAGGAGACGGTCGTGCGCCAAGAATGATTCGCCTTTCAGTTGCCAACCTTGCAAAGACGGGTTCTTTTGTGACTTGACATTCCGCTGTCCTGTTCGGGTGCACTTTCCCCCGATTTCAGCGTAGCCTTGTTATCCATCGGGTCCATCGGAGCACTACCGCATCCGGGAGATGTGAAGGATTTGTGAGTGAAAGGCTCCGGGGGGAAGCATGCCAGTAGCATATCAAGGTTTTCGTGAACCCGCGCATCATCTCCTTCAGCGACGACAAGGATTGGCAGGTCCTGGGAGCGTGTTGAACCTTTACACGCAACCATCACCATGCAAGCTGCGAACTTGATAATATGGTTTCAACCTGCTCGTGTATGTGCATGTCACGAAGTGAAGTCAACGACCGTTTTTGGATGTATTTGCTATAGCTTGTGTCTTTGTAGGAGAGCAGGTGGGAGTCATTACCCAAGCTCAGCAGTAGCACGGTAGCAGTTCTCGGCTTGCGTGTCCTGAAACAATTTTTTTACTTGGTGGGTTTCTCCATTCACATGCGTGACGAAATCTCTCGCTGTCCCGCTCACACACACACACTCTCTCTCTCACACGCTCTCTCTCTCTCTCTCTTTCGCTCTTTGGCTCTCCCTCTGCTCTCTTTGCTCCTGTGCCCATTGCGGACCACCGCGCGACTGTTTTAACATGGTTGTTGACGGTCATTGCTCATGGTAGCTGTTGTTCCTGCTCCTGCAGAAGCAGCGACACTCACAATACTAGTAGTGGCTGTGGTTTGAAGCAAGACACGGAGGAGGAAGACGAGGCGAGGGGAGGAGAGGGAAGAGGAAGAGGATGATGGGGTGAGAAGGTGGATGAGAGGCGGGCCAATTGGCAGGCACCAGGGGTACCGGAAGTAGAGGTGGCAGGGAGAGAAAGTCTTCGCTTGGATGAACAGTTACATTGACCTAGCGCTCCCACTCTGCGCAGTTTTCGTTTTGATTATGTTGCCGCCCCTTCTTGGCAGGCCGAAGGTTGTTTGTCATTCCCTCGGTGTGGGCCTCGAGGACTTAGTCAGGCAAAGCTTCGGTAAGGCGGGTTTGGGGTTTCGTTCGGCAGCAGGTTAGAGGGTTAGAGTTGATGTCGTTGAGCTGACAGTCATTCCGGAAGGTTGCCTCCTTACTAAAGCATTCATTGCGAAGTCCAGCATTTCGTATGTGATACTCTTAGGTGCAGGCTGCTTTCTGGTAGAAGCCATGGTCGCCCGCGAAACATATATGTCGTTACCCCCCCCGCTGCATATCCAATCTTCGCCTGATGCCCCGATCTCCCGCTAGACCAGCAGGAGGCGACAGGCATGAACACAGAGCTTTTCTCTTGAGGGGACATGCGGGGCTACTCTCGGGCCCAAACCCTGTCCCTTGCACAGCCTTCAATTATGACATCCACCCCCGTGTTATCAACTATCCATACGCCTTTTTTTCGCAAAGGAAGCTGAGAGGCTTTTTTTGCGGATGACCGAGGATCCGCGGGAACGTTCAGCGGCCCGTGTGGGTGGAGGTGGAGGTGCTGGGCTGGTGTAGTGACTCATTTCAGTGTTTGCACAGCTGAAGTGTCTGAGGTGTTGGAGCAATTACGACTAATATTGTTTGAACTTTGGGTTGCTGAGAGAGAGAGAGAGAGAGAGAGAGAGAGAGAGGGAGAGATAGATAGATAGATAGATATATATATATATAGCGCGGGCTAGGGGGGCTTCCCTCCAGCCCACAGCCCCGGCGAAAGAAAGAGAGAGAGAGAGAGATATATATATATGGTACTAGAAAACACACCCAAACCCTGTTCTAGTTATGAAGGCCCCTATATTAAACAGATTGAAAGACAAACAGCTGGGTGCCTTCCTTGTCAGGGGCGACCGCAAAAGCGGTTGCAGCACTCAATCCCTGTGTAGGGTTTATGATCGGGTTTACTTATTTCTGGCTTTCGTACATACACCCTAAACAGTAGCAAGCTCAGACCGAACACGCCCTGCCTGCAGCGTGTGGAAACCCCAACGTCCTACAGTACGGGAGTACTGGGACCGTTAGGGAATTAGACCGTTCACCCCCAAGGCAAAGTCCGACCCTGAGTTCCGTGGACCTCCGCCGTTCATCGTGCTTTTCATTCTTGGGTTAGTTTCATGGATTATACTACTTTGTTGAGTTTGTGTTAGTTGCATTGGCTTTAGTGATGTTGTTCTACAATCCCCCCCCCCCAAGAATTACAGCCGCCGAGTCAGAAAACAAAAACTGAATATGTACAGCTGCATTGCTCTTAAAGCTGCGCGTTTCATAGCGCGAGGCATTTTCAGCCCTAACCATCATCATTATAGACCGACTGCCTGGTGTGCGAATGTTGCACCATCTTTCCCATGTCAAAACGTCCCATATGCTCGCATCGATGACTCTCACGCTGAGCTTCCATGTACCGCATACACACTGTGGCCTTTAAAAGGTTCTCTATATGCATGTACTCACGTGGAGTTTACAAGCCCGGTGAAGGGGGCACATGGACTCTTAGGGGCATGTCCTTAAGTCAGCCAGGCAGCACATAGAAGTTTGACTGCCTGTGTTCTTCGCTATCTTGGCTGCCCCCACTCGGAAAGGATCATGCACCTACTTTGCGATTTTGTGTTTGACGCTGTACGCGAAAGCCGAAACTTGACGAACATTGGTTGTGCGTTTCGTTGCATGCTGACCCTCGGTGCGGACTTGGTGAAAGCCTCTAGCGATTGAAGCTCAAACTACTTTGCTTTACAATCGGGGCCAGGATTCGGAATTCTCTTCAGCATCTCCATGAGATACTGAGTTTCGTTCCCGGACCTCGACCATTCAATCAGGGGGGCCTTGCACAAAGTCCGCTGGGGAAGTCAGCATGCGTCCAATGCAGCACTAGTTCCTGACATCCTGCCCCGCAGCGGTGAGTCTATACTACTTGCATGGGTTATCTACATCTATAGGGTACATATTTCGAGCTGCACTTTTTAGCTATGTTGCTCGCTCGTTTGTGTGTATGCCTGTCATTTTAGCCAAAGGGCACGTACACAGCATCATACACACATGCATGCATACATACATACATACATGCATACATACATATAAACATACACACATACACAAACACATGATGATTTACATATACATATACATAATATACATAGGCATATACATGTACATATACATATACATGGACATGCTATACATATACATATAGATATACATATACATACACGTATACATATACCTATACCTATACCTATACATATACATATATACATTGACGTATACATACATACATATATATAGACATTTACATAAACATACACATACACGTACACATACACATAGACATACACATACACATACACATACATATACATATACATATACATATGCATATGCATATACATATGCATACACATACACATACACATACACATACATATACATATACATATACACATATGTATATATATATGTATATATATATACATACATACATACATACATACATACACATGTACGTCTGAGGGGCTTCTAGGAATATAGCACATGCATGTTTACTTTCTCGGCATTTGTCACCTCGCAGCCTCCTGGCCCAAAGTTGTCAGTGAGCAGCGAGAGCAGACGTTTCGGGTTGCAGGTTTGGGGTTGCTTCTCAACTCCAATAGGTTTGCGAACTGGAGCAGAATGCCTCCCAACAGCTGGAGGCAGAGTTTCCTTCGGGTGATTAGGATGTTGCAAGGATCAAGCAGCAATGTGAGAGTCTGGCCTGCAAGTTCCTCAAGCATGACATATCTTTGCACTCGCCACACCTTACTCCTAAACCTAAACATGGGCTCGCGAGTCCCGGTAACAACACCGAAGCTGAAATCCTAAATCATATCCCTGCCTGAGCACACGCGGTGAGCCATGTGCCGCCCCTAACGTGCTCCACGTGAAGCAGGGGCACTGAGGCTTAAATCTGCCTGCGTGTGAACCAATCACGAACAGTCTAAAGCCGAAAGACTTGCGCTTTCTCATGCGAAGCTGAGGGAGTGCTGCTGGGTCCTCCTTGCCCTCTGGGGCAAAGCCAAGCAGCGAGCATGCCCTTCGCGCATTCACTCGCCAGCGCATGACACGGACTGCCTCCAGCTATTTGTTGGGCAAGGTTTTTCGTTATTGTTGTGAAAGGTTGCTTGCAGTTACTTCTTTGCAATCACTTTGCTGACCTGAAGACCTCATCATATCGAATGTTGCCTCGCCGGCTTGTAAGTGACTCAGGCCTACTGGAAAGCTTTGGCCGTCACCACTGCTACGAGCAACTTCTGCATACTAAAGAAGGTGCGTCCGTGACATGACCTGCGGATACGAGCACACTTCCTCAAAGGATAAAACGACATGTGAGTTCGTACGAGGCTTGTGTATTACTGTCTGTGTAAAGCCCAGGACGTACCCCTACGCTCTTTTGGTGTCCAAGCTTTCGCGGATCCAGCTGAGCGAGTTCAAGCCGTGCTCTGCAAGGCTCGCCTGGGGTAAGCATAGCATAGCATAGCTTTTTTGCGTGGTTGGAGAAGGTGCCTGAAACCTTGGGGCTTTTGGGTTGGCTCTGGAGGCATCGGACCTGACTTTACGACTTTCCCTGGGCACTCAATGAGCGACTTACCCATGACAGTCTGACACGGCACTTATTGACTGAGTTGATGTGAGATGGGATGAGCATGCTTTGAGTGTAGAGGGCGGAGTTTACCGCACTCGCGTAGTCTGCGAGAAAGTTTCTGTTCACGTGTTCACCCTCGGAGCTGCTGGCAGTCCTTGCTATTGCATTATCCGTCGTCGTGTTGCTGTGGGGCTACACCCTCCTCTCTCCTGCCAGCATAAGAACATGGCGTTGGTCAAGACGAGCATTAGTCTTATTGAGCGGTGGCATTGTGTATCCATCCACCTGTCAACTCCCTTCGTGTGTATGGGGCTTCCCCTGGCTCTGAAGCAGAAGTCTAAGAATCGTAGTGAGTCAGTAAACAGGTTTATCGCGGTTTCGGTTTTTAGGGCAGGGAGGCTCCGAGGTTCATGCAGGAGCCAAAACAGACCGCGTGTCCCTATTACCGTTTCACCGCGTGCCATATCACGGCAAGAACCTCATCAAGCTCAGCCCGAGCGCGAGACCTTATCCAAAAAACTATGAGTCCCGATGAAGCGCAAGCACCACAAAACTAAATTCTCAAAGCGCTGTAAAGCCCAAAAACCTGAAGCCCCAAGTATTGAGCCCAGGGCGTGCACCTTCATCAAGATCTTCGGAAGCGGCATGGTGCCCACAACCTTTGATCGGAGCTGGGAGGATGCGCCCTGGTTTAGTATAGTGTATCTAGACCCTGAATAGCGGACCTCCTTTTCAGAGTCTACCTTGCTTGAAATACCCCGACCCCCGATCCCTCGTCTCTGGGGGTTGCCGTTATCTTTTGTTTACTGGAAAGCTCCAACTCTCCTCAAAATGCACTGGAAAATCTAGGTAGAAGCCCTGATGGGAACCCTGGTTCGTATTACCCGAGATCGTCGGATCTGCATTTCTTTGCCCTGTTTTGGCCAGGTGTTTCGAAATCAGGTTCCTGCATTGGTTTCACGGATCTCGGGTTGAGAAATGCACGAAGCGCGAAACTCTGAGTGCTGAGGGTTGTCGGGTGCCTGAGGGTCTGTGAGCTGTGCTGTGATCTTGGGGAGGTGGGAGCTGTGATCGAAGAGGGAGATGCGCCTGTTTCTACGACAGTCCATATCGTTCCATGTCGCACAGCTTTATCCCTGAAATGGTCCTTATAGGGAAACCTGGACAAGACGGTAAACCTCCAAAGATTGCAGTTTTGCGCCCATGTCCCCTCGAGGTGTTCGCCGTGGCCGCCACCTCAGTTGACAGAAATGCCGAGGCCCGAGGTGTACTTTAGGGCCCCTGAAAGAAACCTATACATTTTACCAACCAGACCTGAGATTCTGCGCATAGAACATGTTGACGAAGCCCTGCGTGTTTAGCCTAGTGGCATAGTGGCTTAGTGCCTGGATGCAGTGGTTGATGGTTAAGCGCTCGCGCAGACCTGCAATGTTCAGGAAGACGCTAAAATCCCCAACCCCAAAGCTCGATGCTCTTGCTTGGGAGACGGCTGAGGTTCGCAATGGAGACACCAATCACAGCAGGCTCAGCCAGCACTTCCTGGAACCCCGTTGCCCGTTGCTTGCCTTGGCTTAAAATGCTTGTGAGAACCTTGTTCTTTCAAGTGTTCATGATCTTGTTCTGCGAGTGTGGCCTTAACAGTGTGGTGTTGGACTCGATGCCCTGGGATTTGTTCGCTGCAGCTGCATATTTACAAGGTGCAGGTACACAGTGACCAGGTGGTTGCAGCTGGCAGAAGCGTTCTGAGCAAACATCAGCAGGGTACCCTCAATCGTACTACTTGTAGCTAGCCGTACACAAGGCACATTTCTCGCAGCCAGACTCCACCAAACTCCAGACTGCGAGGCGAAAGATTGGAAATACTGATCCCTCTCACATGGTCGCTGTTCGGAATTTAAGGGTCAAAAGACTTTGGGGGTCTGTCCTGCCAACGATTGCCAACGACTTTCACAGGGAAGCGTGTCAGCTTAATGTTTGGGAAGCGGATGCCGCAAGGGTGCGACAGGTCCTTCTCCTTGCGGCAGATGCAGCAGGAGTGCAACGGAGAAACAGCCCGACATAGCAGCCGAGCTGCACTTTGTAGGGGCGCACGAATTTTCGTTTTTGTCGTCACTGGCGGACACTGACATGTGGTCGCACGCGATCAGTTGCTTGAGCGGATCTAGCTCTGCAAGCATGCATGCACGGTTTACGGGTCAATAGGAGCGATGGTCAATCGCTCAGGTTATGTCCTGTCAACCCGTCAACATATAAGTAAGTAATACAGTAACAAAGTAGGTAAGTAAATCAGTAAGCAAGTAAGTCAGTCAGTAACAAGGTAAGTAGACAAATATAAGTAAGTAAGTACGTAGTAGGTAAATAATCAGATGATCAATCATATATATATATAGAGAGAGAGAGTGCATATTACACACATATACACACACACACATACACACACACATATATATATATATATACGTATATATGTATGTAGATATCTACACGTATACATAGATATGTATATACATCCGGAGCTCGACGCTTTATGTGTGTGTGTGTATACATATACACATGGAAAACACGTCCACAAGCGAATCTGCCTTTTGGTGACTTGACATCCCGGAGCGCTCCCGATCAATCCTTTCCCCCTAATATTAAACGCCCCATCCCCCCATCCCCCAATAGATACTCGGCAAATGTTGTTATTTTAGGGTGTGTTTTTATCTCTCTAATGTCAGATTTGGGTACAATAGTGAAGAATTCGACTAGTAATTAACACAAAGACAGACAAGGATCTTTTCAGACAGACAGGCGGTCAGCCCTGCAGATTTGTGAAAGTCAGCGGCAGGCTTCGGACAGCCACGCTCACAGACCGAGCTGCAG